AGGCAGGAAGTATAGGCGGGATTAACAGAGAGGAGAATAAAAGAACCCAGAGGCAGAAGGAGTCACTGCCATACAGTGTGTAAGCAATATAAGTCTCTGTGTTTACTTGGTTGGGTCTGAGCGGCTGTGGAACTGGTGGGTGACAAAGATTTGTCCTGACTGTGGGCAAGGCAGGAAAACTCTAACAACACTGAGAGAAAAATATCAGCTCATCTCTCCCACAAACTGCACCTCAGGAGGACTTCAGGGGACAGCCCCACAGTGTAGCTACAGCTGGTCTGAGAGAGAAAAATATCAGCTCATCTCTCCCACAAACTGCACCTCAGGAGGACTTCAGGGGACAGCCTCATAGTGTGGCTACAGCTGGTTCAAAGAGCAACATGACCTCACAGGATAGATCACCTCCATTCTCCAGCAAGGAAGCCCAGAATTAGGGTCCCATTGTATAAGAAAAAGAGCTCAGCTCATCCTCCCCAGAAACACCTCAGGGACAACTCAGTGGCCGGTGCCAGACTGCACCCAGAGCCCCTTTTAGAAAGCAGGTTTGTAAAAGCCTACAGAGCAGGATTATAAAAGGCCTGAGAAGTTTATGTTGCTGTCTACCAACAGAAAAGAGGGAGCACCTAGCCAGCAACAAAATCCTGCCTGTGAGCTTAAAGGGCCGGGGAGACAGTCAAGGTAACAGACAGGTAGGTGGAGAGGCTACAATGCAATTCTGTATCTAGGACTTTTTTTTAAAAAATGATCTTTTCTTTAAAGAAAAAATATTTACTTACTATATGTGTGTGGAAGTTAACTTGCAGGAGTCGGTTGTGTCTTTATACTGTGTGGGTCCTAGGGAATGGATTTAGTCCCAGGCTTGGGGTCAAACGCATTTATTCACTAAGCTGTCTCCTGGACTAAGTGATATGCTTTCAAATAGACAGATGTAGATGTAACCAACCGTCTTATTAAATAAGAAACACAGAAACAATGTAAAAGAGAGAGCCGAGAAGTCAGAGCTCAGAGCTAAAATCTC